CTTCCGATCTTAAGTACATTTATTTATTTCTAAAATGAAAACAAACTAAGAACAATTAATATATAAATTTATAATTAATAACAATATTAATCAACAATAAAAAAAATAGAGAAACTTTTAAAACTTATCAACTTATTTTTTATTATTTTTTAATAAATAATATATATTTTATATTATCTTTTAATTTAACATTATATATATTTTTTAGATCGTGTAGAATACATAAAAATAACAGCAGAAAAACACATTCTGTGTTATTTATGGTTTGTTGGGCACGAAAGTGCATCTTACCGGGATGTAGCTGATCGTTTTGGTATCTCAATAAGCACTTTATATAATGTAATTACAAGAGTGACCGAATTTATTATGTCTTTGGCACCTAATATTATAAGATACCCAACATCAGCTGAAAAAGAAGAAACATCAACTTACTTTTTTCAAGAAAAAGGATTTCCTGGTATAATTGGTAATGTATCCATATATATATTCAAGTCTTGTTTATAATGTTTTACTTACACATTACTTAATTAACACATTAATATTGTTAACACATTACTATTTTTTAGGTGCTATAGATGGTACCCATGTACGAATTGACAAACCACTACAAGATGCCGATTCTTACATAAATAGAAAAAAATTTTTTTCATTACATGCTCAAGGAACAGTTAATCAGAACTTAAAATTTATAGATGTATTTATTGGGTATCCAGGCTCTGTACATGATGCCAGAGTGTTTAAAAATTCTTCAATATATGATGATCTATATCAACTTTGTGAAGGTTAATTAAAAATAAATATATATATATATGTACACATGTATAAAATAGACAGGATGTATAATAATGATAAGTCATAATAGTTACAAAACAAATTCATTAATATTTTTTCAGATAATTATTTCCTTGTGGGGGATAGTGCATATCCGTGTTTAAAACAATTACTTGTCCCATATAAAGATAATGGACACTTGACAAGAAATCAAAAAATATTTAATCAGAAATTAAGTTCTTGTCGAGTCATTATTGAAAACGCATTTGGGTGCTTAAAACAGCGATTTCGCCAATTGTATCATTTTAAATTAAGAGACATCCCACGAATGGTCCGTGTCATACACGCATGTTGTGTTTTGCATAACATGGCCAATGTACAGGATTTACAATTATTCGAAGCACCTATAGACGATGAGCAAGATTTAGATGCACAAAATCATTTTAATTATAATGAAGCACCAAGAGAATATGAAACAGGAGTACATAAACGAGATCAGATATGTTACGAAATAACTCAATAAAACACTATTATAAGTAACAAAGAATCTATAAAAGAATAGTGTTGTATAAACTTTCATTTTTAAAACAAAACATAAATTCATTTCATTTAAAGAATAAAACATTAATATAGTGTATCTTTGGTTACAAGTTTTTTTTAATAATAAAACAAAAAAACATTTTTTACTTATTTTGATAACTTAAAACTCTTGTCAACTTTATATGTGTATAGTACGTGTATATACATATATAACACCTTAACTGTATTAATTATTTTTCTGTTGTAATTGTATTAACTGTTGCAATAGTTTATTTTTTTCCTCACGCAATTTATTTGCAATTGATAATTGCTCTTCATGTGACTGTCTCATTTTTTTGTACTCTTGTATTATTTCTCTTTGCATTTCATGTTTGGTTTCATTTTCTTTGCATATATGATTTGTTAATTTCTCCAAATTTTGTGTACATGTTTCCAAAATTCGAGCTGTTGTACCCATTTTCCTTGTATTTTTATTTTCAAATATCTATAACAAATTATGTTATATCATTATTTTTGTATCGACAAAAAATTTAAATTGAAAAAATAAATGTAATCCGAAATACCTCCGTTATATTTAATAATTTATATTATTTATTGATATAATATCTATTTTTTATATTTATTAATTTTTTACTTACTTTTTTGTTACTGTCACTAGTATCACTAGTAGCATTGTCATCTTCATCATATATTGCCTGCTGTGACGTTGTTGATTCATCGTATGTTGCTTGATATGATGTTGTTGGTTCATCATATGTTGCCTGATGCGACGTTGTTGCTTCATTATGTATTGCCTGACATGATGTTATTGGTTGGTTAGTTTACCATCATTCTTTAAAATTACACCTTTATTTCCTGATAATAATAAGGGTTCGATAATGTGTTTAGCGCCTAATAATTCTGTTAATTCTTTATATTTAAATTGAATATATTTTATTAATAGATATTAATTCTTTACAAATATTAAAATTAATTGATATACTTACGTCTCATAAGGACAACTAAGTCTATTTCTTCCAGTCTTTTTATTATGCGTTACAGCATTTTTGTAAGCTCGTTCCAATGATTTATATTTATTTTCTACTTGTACTGATGAAACATTGCAGCCTTGCAATTTCATTTTGTCAGAAATTTTTTGCCACATAATTTTTTTGGTTTTAATTTTTCTCTGTCCAAGCAGATCTCTGTTTTCTTTGTACAAGGATAGAAACAATTTTGTATTTGCATCTGTCCAATAAAATGCTTCTTTATATTTGTCTTCTGAGCTTTCATTAGTATTTTCATTATTAAATTTATTTGGTATTGCATTAAGTACATTTTTGTCAGGCAATCTTATTAATATATCTGTATTATCAAAGGTACAACTCATGCTATCACAATTAAAATCAATTTCTTCGTACAACAATTGAAACTCTAGTCCGCCTGCAAATTTAATATAATAATATTAATAACATTTAATAATAATAAAATCATTTTTGTAAACAACAGAATATATAGGCAATCTCAATACCTTCAGAGACACATGTTACATATCCATCCTCTACAACAATATTTCCTGCTATGTCCGTTTTTATATTGCCTATTTCTTGCTTGTTTGCCATTGTTTCCTAGTCAAACAGAAAAAAAGAATTCTTTTTGCACTTGAAAATGAACTCAGAATTGGTGACACTGAATGTACATGAATTCTTTTGGTCTTTGTGTGCTATCTGGGTTAGTACAAGATTTTCTAACCTTACAAATTTAACGTTTAACATTACAAAACATAATTTTAAAACGTTATATAGTAAATATATATTAAAAAATTGTGTAGTATTATTCTGTATTATATAATATTATTAATTATTATTATACATTAGAATAAGATTTTCTAACCTTATAAATTTAATATATTATGATTTTCTAAACAGTAATTGCTGATAGTTTTAACTTGCATATCTAAGTGCTATATATTAAAGTTTTTTCATTTAAAAGAGCTTTTATGTTTTTTACTTACTGTTTAATATCTGAAATGCTTAAAATTTATTCAAACTTACCGGCTTATTTCACAATTCCATTTGCCCTGTACTGCTTGCACTGGCTCTAAACCCAGTGCATTCAGTTCGGTGAACTCTTGTACTAACTTTCCTTACACTGCAATAAAGAACAGTTTCGATGACACCAGTTCTGCAATAAAGAACGCTTTAGTGTACACTTCTTGCACTAGTGTACACTAGTTCAGAAAGTTCAGGAATAAAAAACAAACCTCGTATTTCGCCGCGCGCTTGCATTCAGCGGTAGGCGAACGGATACGCGCTTATTTGTCAATCTTCAAAAATTAATATCTTGTTAACGATTGCGAATTTTGCAAAATGATAGAGAACTTTTCGATCCAGTTTAATCTGCTCTACCAGCCCACGAGATATTATCTGGTTATTACCGGACACCCTGTATAATAGATATCTACTGGATATTCACATATCTATACACTATCCATATCCATTATGGTTAACTAGTAGATATCTAATAATTATCTACACATCCATATTCACTAAACAGCTACCAAAGATATCTATTAGATATTTATTTGTTGTCT